GCTTGTGGAAGCTGCTTCCAGTGACCCTTCCCTTGCCTGCTCCCCTCCCTCTTGTAGTCTTAAGCAACGAAGTTCCTGCCTGGATGCTTGTGATTGGCTTAGGGTTTTTGCTTTCGTTACTGCTGGGCACTTGGGTGGTATCGTTGAAGCCAGCTTACCGGCCGCTTCTTCCAGGGACTGCTCCTCTGATATAGCTTCCATCCGTGCCAAGCAACAACGCAATTGGGCCAAGTATGTGCATTTGCGTGACAGCAATCCAAGTGAAGCTGCCAAATTCCTGGCTAAGCTTTTGCGACCAAATATCGCAACACAAATCGGTTTGAAGAATGAATCAAGTGAGGCACTGACTGCAATCCTTGATGATATCACTTCCCGCCCGTTTGCCACGAAGGTACTCGTCACCGATAGTACGTCGTCATCCCAGCAGGTCTTTGCAATTCGCACTTCGGGCGCTACTGTGGACCCCCTTCTCGATGACTGGCGCCCATTCACGATGGACGAGATTGACCTTTGCATTCAGAGCCTCGACCCAAGCAAATACACATTCCGGGGATCCTCTGCATCCCTACCGCACGCAGGCACGGGCACTCGCAGATTCATTCGTGCACTTCTCAACCTTGCGATGCAGCTCCAGATCTGTGCACCTTCGTGGTGTGAGCGTGTTTATAACCCCATCCGTAAGAAAGGTCCCACTGTGGTTGTTTCCTAACAATGCCCGCGCCCTATTTCGCAGGGGACTGACATGGCTGCCCTCTCTGTGATGCCTTGTTTCTCTTGCGTCACCGAGAGAAGCTAGAGCGCTTCTGGGGTCGCTCTGACACCGTCAGCTTTGCGTTGCTTTTCTGCCAGTTGAGACGTGCCTGCCAGCTTCCCACAATCATCAACTTTGCTGATCTGTGGGCAGGTTTTGACACTATTCCCACTTGCGATATTCTGTCGGGGGCCTTTCATGCCGGCATTGTAGGAAAGGCCTGGATGCAGTTAGACGATGAGTTACGGCTTGACAGATGCCGTGAAACGGCGTCGCACAGGGCAAAACGGCTTCTGTCCATAAGTTTAACACTGCCGCTACGTTCATCAAGGACTGCATCTCCCAACACATCCTGGGCGCTGCAATTCCCACAGGGATGTGGCAACATCGTGTACAGCAGCACGCAGAGTACATCAAGCCCGGTTTGCACGGTCATCATGACGCCGCCCTGGGTCCTCGCCTAGCCCAAGACGCAACTGTAGCAAGGACCTCTGTGCATCGCTTTGCAGGTGAGGATGCGAAATTAGTTTTTTATGCCGATAGCGTTGCTTGTGTTGATTCCTGTTCCCCCAGTCGGTTAGTTTGTTTACAACTTGTTGACGACACACTGGCCCCGAGCACTTCAGCGCAGCAGTCCCAGTTATTCTGGCAAGCCTGCGAAAGATACACGGTGGAGCATGGACCGAAGTTCAATTTGGGCAAAACCAAATCGAGCTCGATTTGGCTAGCTGCCGCTACATGCAGTTGCAAGTACCAGTCGTCCAGCACTACACTTACATGGGCATCACCTTCGACGCCACACTGTCCATGGACTCGCACCTTGCAAGCACCCTGGTGCGAATGAACTCCCGCTTAGAGGAACACATGGCCTGCGGTGTCAACGCAGGCCTCCCTACGCCACTTTTGGCCGCAATCGCTGACCAAGGCCCGGAGGCTGTTGGGTTCTACGGTCTGGCACTTTGCATTGGCGCCGCCGGGGCCGAAAGTAGGCTCAATGCCATGCAGGCAAACTGGTGTCGTGAAGTTTTAAGTTGCCAGGGTCTCCCACAAGGGCCGCATTTTCCCATGCTTGCCGAATGTGGGGCGTTGCGCCGCATCGGTGCAAGAATGCCTGCTGCAGCGCTCATGCTAAAAGCGCGTATTTGGTGACAGCAGCCCATCTCGCATCATTTTATCTGCCGCCCGAAACATCACCGGCGACCATTGGTTCAACAGTGTCCATCAAGTTCGCCTTCGTTTGGGTGGTATTCCTTCTTTTCCTGAATGGTTGGACACCTCTGGCTTTGACCTCGTTCCTTCTGATCCGCGTGCTCGCAAACATTTACTCAGCAGATACAAAGTGCACATCGTCGAGCCTGCCTTGTCTGAGTATGACCACACCGCATTCTTGGAGCGTGCAGCAAATTCCGACTGGCCTTACTATCAATTTCAGCCACGCCTTGAACCACTGCCCAGTGGCCGCTGGGTACATGGCAAGACTACAAGATTTGGAGCTTGGGTCGCGCCACGGGCCGCTTTGCTTGGGCACCCTTTGGTATCCTCTGCACCCAGGGTGCTCCCGCACTGTCCTTTGTGCCATTGTCGCGATGTGACGCTGTTACATTTGCTCAAATATTGTATCCAAACACGATCGCTCAGGCGATCTTTCAAGATTGAGACTGTGGTCACTGACGGCATTTCTTTTGCAATCTTTTGCACAATATTTTCGCCACGAGACCTTCCACCGACAGTCGCCAACTGGATGGGCCAATCAAATTTACAGCAGAGTGTGTTCGACTGGCGGCTGCAAGGCCAGATGCGCATGAAAGATGCGGCGCGGTTCAGGTTCAGCTTGGAGCTGTGTGCATCTCTGCCTTGTCTGGCGTAGCTTCCTGTGCAGCCTGCCCTCGCTTAAGCAACCTCGCTCCCCAGGCCCTCTCAGTCGTCTTGCCTCTAGATGTTTAGGCTCGCCCGGAGTTCGCTAACAATGTTCTAGCTCCGCCTGACCTAGTCCCACAAAGTCACACAATCACTGTCGGCACCATGGCGCTTGCGAGGTTGGCAAGGCGCTCGTGCTCGTGCCTTCCAGCAGGTCAGCGGGTGAATGCTCGAAAGCACAATCAGCCGAAAGCGAAAGCGGAAGCAAGGCAAGGAGCGAAAAGCAAATTCAACAGGAAGCCCAAACCAGGTGATATATGTAAAGCAAGAAACAGAAATTCGAGCTCCTGCATCATGCCGGCCCTTTCTCTCTCAGGTACTGTGCTGCGAGTTGCTATTTGCCTGTTAAGCTTATATGTCCTGGCCTCTGATGCATATGAGTGCAGCACCTTTTGGAGTTGGTACTAGTAGGGGCGTCCTGATTGATTAAGAAATGCTGGTCCGGTGCATGTCAATCCTTGAGTGTGAATGTGTGAATGAAAATGGGATACCCCGCCTCGACAAAAGACCATTAGTTCACACCTGCAGACGAGAACGAGTGCTGAGCCATTGCTAATGCAGAGCAGCAGCCGTATAAAGTGGCTGGTATGTGCTACCCACCTCCTAACCCTTGTGACACTATGAGAGCAAGTCAGACAGTGATCTTCAGGCAAGAAGCTCTGCCGCTGGGGTCGTCTCTGTCGTCTCAGAGACGCGCTTTCAGCCCTGGCTTCGCCCAGCAATCCTTCCACCGAGCTTGGTGGATGCCAAATAGGATCACCAGACAACTCGTTCGAGCCGCCCTTGGCTTTTGCAAGGCTCGTCGAGCGGTTCCTGGAGTCTTGCTCATCTTGCTCTTGCTGGAATCCTGCAGGGTTTTCGCACCATCGCGCATCCTCGTTGGCGCTGGCCCGCACGATCGAATCCCCAATGCCATCCAACTGCATGTCTTGGCGGTTCCAAATGCTCGCCTCCGCCAGCCTCGGTCCCACACTTCTGGGCTTGGAAACACTTCTGCAGAATGCAGAGATGAGGCGCCGCCCCCCACCACCCTGATTTTCAGGGCTCTCGGCATAACCTCAGCTGACTGCACACGTGCCGCCCGCACCCGCCACTAGCACAGCACTTCTGCATCGGACGTACAGCAATTCTTCTGCATGTCAGCATCTCAGATCGGGACCTGTGTCACACTCGGACATAGATGTAGCTGTTCGGGGCAGCGACCGTGCCTGCGATGAAAGCCACGGACGTAAGCTGCGTGTGCAACATGCACTACACATCCGACGGTGAAATCGGACTAAGAGAGCATCATGCCCACCAGCACATTCTCTGAGCTGGATCTCGGCATGGAGTGCAAGCTCTCCAAAGTGGCAGCTGGATTTCTCGGTTCTGGAGTGCGAACATGACGCACAACGCCTGCCCCAAGGAGTGGTGCTTCGTAAGATCACTGCCAAGTGGTGGCACACGCCAGCTGACTTCAGTGCTGCAGAGTGACTGGGGCCGGGAGAGGACTCCAGCGGTGTTGGGACAGACCTTGCTGCAGACCGTGCACTCCCTGAGCGACTGCCGTCTGCACAGCCGGAACCGGCTGTGATATCGGCGATGCGCACCTGCTGTGAACGGTACGCTCGAGTCAGTGAAGATGCTTCATCGATAAGACCCTGTTTCTGTTACAAGCAACCAGGCTCAAGCTCAGAGCTCAACGGCCCGTGGCCTGACCGCGCCCTGGCTGAGGAAGCTTGACGCGCGAGATCACGGGTCTTGCGGGTGTTGGTCGTGCTGATGCCATGGCCTCTACCTGAGAGGCACAAAACGGAGTGTGTGCTGATTGAAACGATGTGGCCGCAAAATCGGTTTGGGAAACAACATGGCAGCGACTTGCCGAGTAGCTTGCGCAAGTCAGCTCCATGAAGCATAGCTTCCGTGCCCTTATCCGGCCCACCCATTGCTATACTGGCGCTTGAACCCATACTGTCGACTGCTGTCACCCATCCAGCATCGTGAACCAGTATGCCCTATACAGCCCCCTTGAACTGTTGCAAAGTTCAAGCTCGACTGGTGGACTTGCCCGTCTTGTTCACCGAACAAAAGGCACAGTCAGTTAAATAGTTTTGGCGTTTCTGTGCAAAGCTAACGGAAGCCAAGCTGACAACGGCTTTCGATTGCCGGTTGAAAGCGAAGCGGCGAAGCATGGCCCAGAAGAGCTGCGTGAGATCAAGTACCCGCTGCTGTTTCTGTTTTCTGCCACTCTGCAGCATTGGGAAAGCCTGGGCTTGGCCCAACAAACTCCCGCCCACATCGAATAGGCCTCGAGGCCAGCGACTTGTACTAGCTGCAGGAGCTTGACGCCCGCCTATCTTGGCCGCCACCGTGTAGTGGTTGCTGATGTTGCTGTTTCCTGCTCCTTGCTGTCCTTTAGATCGGTGGTGGACTGGTAAACTGCGGCCTCAGCTTTTTGAGGGACCTTCTGGCCCCGTGTGGCCGAGGCCTGTGCGTCTGCACGTGGAGAGGCGGGACCAATGCCCAAACGTGCCGCGGCATCTTGGTTGTCCAGCGCTTGGAGCTCCGTCTCAATAAGCATGGTGACATGCGTAAGGTCGGCCAAACCATCGCGGGTCGCTGCCTGTAGGCTCAGCGAAACCCTGAACTCCAGAAGCGGCGCTTCCGATAGGATACGAGTCACGAGCCTCCACGAGTGGCGCAGCATGCCGAAGCAGTGCACGTGCCGTCCCGCGTCTCTGGGTGGCCGCCGCCTGCAAACACGTCAAGAAGCAATTCCAAATCATTCAGGTCCTGCCTCAGAGCAACGGTTCGGGAAAACAAAAAGGTCAAACTAGCAAATCTGGAGGTTTTTCCACTCGATTTGTCTGTCTTTGTGTGTACTTACGCATGGACGAGGCGCGCGCATGCTCTTCGATCCGTCCCAAACGAACGCCGGTGCCTCTATGCCTTCATTTCTCCTCATTTCTCTTTCGGGTAACACACATACGAAGTCTTCGAATCTACCTCCCACTGTTTTGACCAACGCCTGAGGCTGCCCGAGAAGTACAATAGCATGTCGCCACCTTTACTTGCAACTACATCCTCTGGCAAAGCTTGCCTGCGCAGCTGCATCGCCCCCAGCTTGGCTGCATAGAACCAAAGCGCGGGCCATCCGTTCGAACAAGACCTTGCTTTGCGAACAAAGGCTGTGCCGATCTCACCATGCGACGAAATGGCTTTTTCAACTGCCCCTTTACTACCAATGCAGCAGGCTCACGCCGCAATTGCCATCTTGATCAAGCCCACGGTAGTGCCTACAGTCAGCATGGAGAACCACGCTGTCCAATCTAGATTGTGCCACGTAGCTGGGCGCCCTCGATAGCAAAACGTCTGCACCACAAGAGAATGTCGATATGTGTGTATACATCTGCAGCACCAACTGATGAACCACAGCATACTTCGCAAATAACTTACGAGCCCTGCTCGAGGGTGCGAAGACAAGAGGCTTTACATGGCTTTGCTAATGTTTGGCTTACTTCGCACTTTTTATTATCTTTATTGATGCTCACGCTCGGACAAGACCAGGCGAGGTCTCCAGACAAACGTTTAACTATGAAGGGTGTGGCTCCGTCTTGTTCAGCGGCGAGTTGCAATTAACAGGGTTTGGGCTTGCAAAAGGCCAAAGGGGGAAGTGGCAGGCGGGTACAGAGCTTGCAGGCTGAAGGTGTGGATCAGGTTCAGGGCTGCTCGCAACAAAGATAAGCGCAAACATTGATATAACATTGGCTAAACCACTTCTCATACAAACTCCAATAGGCAAAAGCCGGGGATGGTTATTGCCATGCAGTCGGTTGCAAGGCCACTCCACATGCTTGATGCAGATTCTCCAAATGGATCTCCAGGGTACAGGATACCATCCTGGATGTGAGTGGGTGAAGCCAAGGAACCGATAATCCTCGAGAACAAGATTAGATGGTCACGAATACACCCGATTTCCCACCAATCACAAAGTGCCAGTGTCACTCCAACGTAAAACTGATAACTGATCCATGATGATTGCTACGGCCATGACTCAAGGGCTCCGCCAGCAACCATAAGCAAGCGGGGGATGCTAGGATTGTAGGAATGAGGTTGCAATTCTCCATGTAAATAACAACTGGGATCACGGAGGCGTGCTCCGTTCCGACGGCCATGCTAACCACGTCCGGACACAGCCTTACTGTATCATTACGCGAACTTCTTCTGATCAAGCCCAAGACTCCTGTCCCGGAGATGTTAGGACTGTTAGGAAAAAGCAACTGCAAGGCCTGTGCCTCGATTGCTGGCACTGCCATGCTGAAATCAAAAATGTGCTGTGGGCATCTTTTGGGTAGCAGCGACCTGCTCCCATCAAGGGCTCTGAATGCTATGTTACCCCCTTGAGTGATGTGGAGGGATGTGGCCAACTCCGCGAGGCGGACCCGAAAAGGAGCAGGCGTTTGGCTTTTGGCAAACTTTTTGAAAAAGGGAGGTGCGATGGCGTTAAGCCCACAATCGCAAGAAATGATTGGAACTTGCTATTCAGGGCTAAGCAGAGCTCATCTCTGCCTGTATGGTGGCACGACACGGGCACAGCTCCTTCACGACTCAGCGGAGATCCACACTGGCCCCGCATTCAAGGCCCGGGCATGTTTCTGACAGCTGCCTGGATCGGCATCTCCAGCCGCGCGAGCTCCGCTGTGTCGACCTCTTTTGTGATGGGAATTTCCTGCCATGAACGGGATGGGACATGTCCAGATGGCCCATGCTCCTTCTCCAGTCACTTCACATTCGGTAAACTGATCACGAAAACTGAAGAGATGGGAACCTGCCAGGTGCATGGACCTCCTGCTGTCCTCCAAAGCAATGCCCAGCAACTCAAACAAGGGCGTAGGATGCACTGCATCCTGCACGCAACTTGCAATCAAGTCGTAGTGTCAATGATGATAACCCTCGCGGCCTGAAGCGCAATGACGGTGAACGCTTCAATCAGACTGTCCAGACCTTCCTGGTATCGCTCGGCCTGGTCAGACCAGAGAAGCTCGAACACAGGCCTTCGCCGCGCCTTCGCGTGTGATCCGGGCCGCACCAGCGCACTGCCCTGAGGACACCGCGTGAACGAGTGCTCGGCTCAAGCGCTCGCAAGCCTCAGTCGAAAGCTTCGCGGTCGCTTGAGCCGATCGCTTGAGCAGATCTCTCAGGTACCGGCGCTGCCGTACAAGGGACTTTCCGTGCCGATGCTCCGGTCGTACAAATCTTTGGCTTTTTGCAAAACTCCAACTGCTTCCTCATGCCTGCCCATTTCGTCGTAGCAGCTGCCAACCGAGTCGTATAGCTTCGCGAGGGTGACGTCATCTTCTGGATCCTCTTCAAGCCACTTCTCCAACGCCTGATCCAACATTAGTGCTGCCTTGTCGTAGTTCTTCTTGTTTTTGTGGACCAAGCCAATGTTCCACAGATCCTCCTTATCGAGCAAAAGCTCGCCCTGTCACGATCATGCGGGCAGGGCTACAGTGTCAGGTTGAGCATTGTGCAAGCATGTCCTGGAGCAATCCTGGCCTGCTCATTTTTCTTGCCCACGAGTTCGGCAGCGGCATCGAAGTAGACTTTGGCTTTGTCGTGTTCCCGAAGCTGGTTGTACACGGTCCCGAGGTTGCGCAGAGTCGCCTTTGTCAGAGCTGCCGAAAGACTTGAGTTAAGTGTAGCAGTTTTTGTTCAGCAGGGGCCTGCCTCGTGGGGAGGAGTAAGCTTGGCAACTTCTTCCAGCATGGGAGCAGCTTCTGCTTGGCGATTCTGTTTACACCTTGAGCGCCATATCGGTCTGCGAAGGACATTGAGACATGCATGGAGAACTTGAGAGCTGCTTTTGACCAACAAGCTGAAGCCTGTTCTACTCAGGGCCGGGCCTTAACGTTGCGCAATCTTGAAACCACTTTACATTCCAAGGCAGACCACGTGACAAACAATGGGGCTTGACTGCCTCGTACAGTGCGTCAGCCTTGTCGAGGGCATAGTTCTTCAGATAAACAACTGCAAGGTCCAAAGCTGCCGCCAAAATTTCAGGTGCTCGGAAACCCTGGTCAGCAAAAGGCAGGAGGAGCGGGTGGACTATACTGCCCCAGATGATCAATTCCAAGTCAAGCGAAAACTGCCATGCCGCAGCGGGTACAGACTCGCTCGTTACTGTCAGCAAAAGCCAACAAGAAAAAACAACAAACGCCTGACTTGCGAAGCTTGGTGGGCGCGTTAGGCCAACGGGAGCGCGACCCCTTTGCTGGTTGAGGGAACGCAATAGGCCCAGACAACCTGAAAGTTCCGCTCTTTTCAACCCGCACCTCTGGATGCGATGCCATCATTCGCGCAAACTTTGCCTCGCATTCCTGGACGATGCGCAAGTTCTCCTCAAGGCCGCCAAGGAAATCCTGCTCTGACCACGGCAGGACTTCAGGCCTGGCGCCAACACGTCATACGCACCTGAGGCTCAGGAGAAACATGTTCTGGCCTCAGGAGGAAGTCGTCTCGAGGCGGTCCCACGGCTTGCTCAGCACCACTCGAAGGAGGCATCATCAGCTTTAAAGCAGCGATCAGGCCATCGACTTGTTGCTGGTTGCCCTCACCTATAGCTGCCGCCAGTGCTTCACATGCCTCGCCGCAAGCCTGAATGGTCGCACTGTGCTGGAATGCTAGCAGAGAGAGACAGAGAGACAGAGAGAGACAGAGAGAGACAGCGATAATCGCTTCCCCCTAACATTAAACCCCCCCCTAATATAAAAACTGCCGACCCCCGGAATTTCGCGGGTTCGGGCCCCACATTCAATTTAAAGGGGGCAACATTAGGGGGGGTGGCAGATCTGTATGTGTTTTAATTGAAGGAAGACTACCGTAGTACTAAAGACACCAGAGCTTTAGGGTTTAAGGGTTTAGGGCTCAGGGCTTTAATTATAGAGGCAAAGATTAATTACAGCAGTACTAATTAAAGAGACACGAGAGCTTTAGGGTTTAAGGGTTTAGGGCTCAGGGCTAAAGCTTTAGGGCTCAGGGCTTTAGGGCTTAAAGTTTAGGGCTCAGGCCTTTAGGGTTTGGGGCTCGAGGTTTAAGGCTTAGGGTTTTAAGTTTTAGGCTGGAGCCAGTTATTAGCTAATTAATTAGTTTTAATATAAGGGGGGGTTGTTGGGTGCTATGTCCCTCCCTCCCTCCCTCCCTGCCCTGTCTTTGCTGCATCAATCAGTCGCTGACTTGTTGTCTGGTCTGTCTGGCTGCCCAAACAAAAAATTAAGCTTTAGGGTTGAGGGCTTCAGGGACTGTCTGACTGTCTGGCTGCCTCATTATTCCTGTCAGTCCGACTCATACCCGCAGGACCCGAAACCCCCCCTAATATAAAAACCAAACCTCCGAATTCCAGTTTTTATATTAGGGGGGGGGGGGAGCGGTTTAATATTAGGGGGAAGGGATTAGACAGAGATAGACAGAGAGAGAGAGAGAGACAGAGAGAGACAGAAAGAGACAGAGAGAGACAGAGAGAAACAGAGAGAAACAGAGAGGGACAGAGAGAGACAAAGGGAGAGAGAGAGAGAGAGAGCGTGCGTGCGTGCGTGCGTGCGTGCGTGCGTGCGTGCGTGCGTGCGTGCGTGCGTGCGTGCGTGCGTGGGTGGGTGGGTGGGTGGGTGTGGTGTGTGTGTGTGTGTGTGTGTGTGTGTGTGTGTGTGTGTGTGTGTGTGTGTGTGTGTGTGTGTGTGTGTGTGTGTGTGTGTGTGTGTGTGTGTGTGTGTGTGTGTGTGTGTGTGTGTGTGTGTGTGTGTGTGTGTGTGTGTGTGTGTGTGTGTGTGTGTGTGTGTGTGTGTGTGTGTGTGTGTGTGTGTGTGTGTGTGTGTGTGTGTGTGTGTGTGTGTGTGTGTGTGTGTGTGTGTGAACCTCCCTAGCACATGGGAGCAGAGGGTCACTCCTACACTGTTTGCAATTTCGCTTTTCAACATAATCCGGCATTGGACATTTACCAAATCAACTGTTGCAGGGGAGTGTGGCACTTGCGTCCTACCACACTCAACGAAGCTGTGGATGCAAGTGGGAAGCGGGACCTGATCAGTCCTGTGTACCTGCATGGCTGCCCCTGTGGTGCCAAGATTAGTTTTGAGGACAGGCCCCCTGTGGTGTCCAGATTAGACAAACAAGTTGTACGGTTGCCACAATCTGACAAAACTTTGCAACATGAACAACATGCCTCTCTTTTTCCTCTTGCACTCGTACTCTTGGCCGAATCCATCAGTGTGATCAGCGTGGGTCGTTGAGACTCCAGAGCAACGGCTTTCCGTCATGGCGCCGTGGTGACCCTCCGGGGAGACCGGTGATGAACCGGGTGTTCAGCCTTCGTTCAGATCGTTCAGAATCTCCCGATGCTACTTTATCTCTCTCTCTCTGATGCTCGCATGTGAGTCTGACATGAGTGCAGGTGCAGTAAGGGACGGCTAATGCAGTAAAGTGCGTCTAGTGAGCAGGTGCTACCTCTCTAGTCTGCCCTCTATTCTACCGCTTCTTTATTCCTCAGGGACCGCAAGGGCATGTGCATCTGACATGAGTGCAGACGCGGTAACAGTGTCTACAGCAAGTGAAACAGCGCTCTCTTCGGAGAGTACTCGGCCCTCTTCCTTCTCTCCGTCTACGACCTCTCAAATCAGTCCAGCAGGGACAATCAGGACAGCCTGCACTTTGCTTGTGCAACTGTGTTTGTTTCACCCACTTCGTTGCAGCTATGTGGCCGGATTATTTTGCCGCGCAGCCACCAGCAACACCATATGCACCAACAGCCCGACCGGTGCTGAATCAATTTCACCCGAACACCTGGGTACCGCAGTCACAAAGCTACCCAGCAATGATGCCAACTGGCATTGCTGCCACTCAGCAGCCCACACTGCCGACACAACCCACTACGATTCCTGTTGAGCAGACGCACAGCTTCCCCATGATGCCGTGTGGACACACTGCTCCTATTCCACAGCATCCGACGGTATATACACATCTCAGCACACCACAACCCCAGATGCCACAACAACCTCCACCCCAGCAATTCATGTCACAACACCCCCCCACTTTCCTGAACCCTGCTCTATTGCCTACCCATCCAACAGTTTTTCCCACGAGCCCATCAACTCTGACACCGCATCAGCCCCAGCCTACCACATACAACCTTCCTTTTACACCACCTGCTCCACAACCCCAACCTGCACCTTGCAACATCCCTTCCACACAACCCGCTCAACAACCCCACATACCGCCGCCAACAACACTCCAACAAGCTTCACAACTTCACCCCACCAGTGTTCCCACTACCGATGCCACACACATTGCCCCGCAGACACCGGCAATGACTCCCCAACAACAACCAACAAACACAGCCAACACCCCCTCCGTCAGCACATTGCCACCCACACAACCACCCCCGGCTACGGGATCGGCAGACACCGACCAGTTTGCAGCACGTACTTCTCCCCACCATCCTCCGTTGCCACGCAGGCGACGGCGCTCACCCACACGCAGCAGAACTCGCACCGTGAGCACTAGGCGCCGACGTCGCACACGCAGCAGAGCACGACCGGCAAGCAGCGGAGACACCACCACCGACGCAGACACCACCGATCCCGCGACACTCGCAGAAGTCGTTCTCGCAGGGACACCAGACAATCTTCGTCGACACCTCCGCGGACCTCGGTTGTGCTCCGTAGCTATTCTACAGTACGTGATGATGATGCCAACAAGTGGCATTACAGAGCCACACAGCCACGTCAGAGGCCACCTACCCCACCCAAGGTCCCACAAAGGACATTGGCCTCGCAGGTTCAGCGAATCGCCCTTCGCATCAAGGGCAGCCAAGCAGCACAACAGCAGCCCCCAACAGGCCAGGGCACATCCTCTCGCCAACAGGTTCAGCACAATCCCTCCAGCTCTATTCGGACACCTGCCCCGATTTTTGATGCATCCACAACTGCTGCCCCATCGGGTCAGCCAACCCTCGAAAAACTGGGCAAACAGAGCAGACCACCACAGATTGATGTGGCGCCTTTCTCTGAGCTTTACGATCATGAAAAGCCGACCCCCCACGCTGTCGACATGGAAGAAGCACATAAACTCGCCAAAACCTTGGGCGCGATAGCTGCTGACAGCGATTTCAGGCAGGAGACTTTAGCCGAATTTGCACATGCCGTGCTACAGTCGGGCACGCGATCAGCGTGCAACGAACTGGGGGCAACGCTGACGCCAATATCGGACGGAGTACATACTATGTTATTCATCCCGTGGGCTGGAGAGACTCGCAGAGCATTCGGCACTCGTGCCACCGACCCACCAGGGGAAACATACATCTACACCGCCGGACACGGCACGAGCATTGCAAGTGCCGCGCGCATCATGCGCGAGGACTTGGTCCGCCCAAGTTCAGTCAGCCATTGCTTCGACGACAAGTCCTATCCACCCATTCCCTCTTGCGTCATATACGGGAATGCGACCCCAGGAGATGTATCGGAAAGCACGGTACATATAGTTACCGATCAATGTACACGGCGGCCCAAGGGCCAACAGGGAGTGATCGTCATCGGGACAATACGGAATAAGTATCAGCATTACAAGATGACGTATCGGGACATGTACAGAGAAGCTTTCATCGTGGGGCGAAAGGGTGTCGTGCGGACCCCAGAGAAGTGGGGATTCCACTCGGGGCATTTCAGCATCGTTGGATTCGGCCTCATTAAGTGATGTTGCTTTCTTCTTTTTCTTCCGTGTCTTCCTTTCACTCTCGAGTATATTTTCTTCCAGGCCTGAATCCCGTTGCACATAGCTGTTTGCAATCAAGCATTTTCTCCGACACCGCTTTTGAGCCAAAGAAGAGTCGATGCAGCTGCATGCTGGATGCATCGCACAAGTTGATGTTGACACTCAAGCCAACCATGTTGCTCATGCATGTTCCATGTGCAGCTTTTGCAGTCACAGGCAATTGTAGTGCCCCATTGTGCAACCATGTACAAGCCGACACAGCCTCAGTGGCATACAACAATGCCAACAGGCATCATCGGTACAGCAATCAGTACGGTGCAGCGACAAACAGCCTCGACCAGAAGCACCCCAATGCACCCGATCTCCCCACCACCAGGGATTCACAACATCCCACCACACACCTCACCCCTAACCCCGACTACTTGGGGTTCAGCTCACACTTACAGCCACAACACCACTTTCCCCCCTTTCCCTCCACCCCCTCCCCCACCCCAGCAGTTTCCCGGCCCAACATCACCCACCACACTGCCAACCCCCACACCTGCCACTCCCCAACACACATTTGTGAGTCCATCTTCGATGACGACTCGAAACCCCAGCATTTCTTCACATACATTACCTCAGGCCACCGTCCCACCCCAACAACAACAACACCCCAATCCCACGCCTACAAATCCCCAGATACCAAACGACTTCGTTCAAACACCAGAGCATTGGGACAACAGGCAGCTTTTTGGCCTCAACCTACCCAAACACATTCAATCTACACCACATTCAGTGCACAACCGCACGGCAGGCATGCCAAT